AACAATGTGCCAAAATAGATCTATCATCTATCATACGCGTAAACAAACACAGCATAATTTTCTTTTGTTGAGCACCACCAGTCACTTGTACAAGTCATTAAAGCAAGTTGTGTTATGTTTTATATATTACTTAATTTGTAGTTGGCAACGTGCACTTAAAAAACCCTGCTCGACCAGATGCCTCAGCCAATCATCTTCCTCTTCAAAGTCTTTGCGCTCTATTATTCATCCTACATGGCGGGGTACTTCCCAGGGCAAACAGAAATATACATAGGAGTAAACCCCTACCTGGTACCTCTCAGCGACTCGGGCTATTTGCCCTAGTTTACTCCGATGGTAGCTCTGCTCCTGGACAGCAGCCCAGTTGGTTTAATTTAAGCCAATTCTGTAAGTAGAGCTAAGAAGCGATTGCTAGCTCCTCCTCCAACGTACTCCCTCCGTCCCAAAATAAATGACTCAACTTTGTACTAGTTTTGTACTAAAGTTGGTACAAAATTGAGTCACTTATTTTGGGACGGAGGGAGTACGTGCCAATGCAATGCTAAAAAGGTGGAAGAAGCTGCCATTGTTCCAATGATAATGCGAGGCCAGAAAATGTATCTGGTCCAACTCAATTGTCCTGCTGGGACCGCATCTTTACGTACTTGTTCTGTTAGTAAATGAAGTCTAGGAAGGACCGCTGAGGCTCGGACTAAATGAAGTCCAGACATCAGGAAGCACTGCGAATCCTACGAAACAAACAGTTTGTTCCTCCAGACTTCAATTGATCTCAAATTCTCAATTAATGCGTGGTTGAGGAATCAGGATACCCCATGCAAAGCCCATGGACCCACACCCGAGACTGCCAAAACTTATTCGCTTCCAGGTTAATATCACCCCTATTTCGCAGTCAGAGCAAGCATTCCAACAAACACGACATGGACGATTCAAACAACGACATGGAGAAAGGAAAATAGAAAGGAAGGTTTAAGATTCACCTGTACTCCGGCCCAGCATGCGCAGCAAGCCCCTCGAGTTGCCCCTTGATGTACTGCGCGGCGGTCTCCAACCCCGGTCTCCCCTCCTGCAAAAGAACTCTACTCGTCACATCTCATGGCAGACTGAGATGACCCGCCCCGAGACTACTAACTAACGCAAGGTAGAAGGCGGACCTGGCGGCCAGGGATATCAACGACGAGGCAGCGGAGGTGCTGCAGCACGCGTCCCTCGGAGAATTCGTCTGGCGACGCGTCGCGGTCCAGCGGGGCGACGTGGCGCATGTGGATGACGCGGTAGACTAGGAAGGACATGAAGCCGTAGAGCACCACCAGGGCAAGCAGCACGCGCTGGGCCCCCGCAGCGGCGCCAGCGCCTGCGGCAGACTGCCGGGGCGACGGCGGGGTGACCATCGGCCGTGTCTCGGTGGGCGGCGCCGCGGCGGTTGTCGTACGGAGGGTTTTTCTTCTTGGTCACGGCTTGGTTCGTGAGTTCGTGGATTTTCTGTTGTTGCTGTGAATTATGTGGTTCGGCCCTGGATCTGGACGCGCGGTCGAGTGGGTTGGGCTGCTTTTGGAGTTGGCGGTGGCTTTTGCGATTATATGTGAGGAATTAAGTACTTGTCATAAAAACGATAAAAAATGGATGTATCTACAACTAAAATACATTTAGATGCATTCATTTTTTGAACGAGTAGTAGAATGCCCGGTAATATTTTGCTGAAGTTGTGTAAAGATAATGCATGCTAAATTTATATGTAGATACAATATAACACAATCATAATTGCATAATAATTAAAGTCAACTTTATTTGTAATGTCAACTAATAACTAAATTGTAAATTGACAATGTATATGTACCTACTCCCCCGTAAAAAGAAAAGTATATGTACCTACTAATAAAGCAAGGTGCGTTTCTTCGATTTTTCATCCGTTCACTGCCGAAATATTTTTCTTTTATTTGAGATGGTTTAAAAAATTTGTGCGTCCGTCTATTCAAAAATAATAATGATTTGTCTATGGGCCACACGCGCTTTGGCTCAGCGAAACCAACCCATTTAATTTACTGCCCATGTTGTGAGGAAAATCCTATTTGCTACACCGGCATATAATCAGGGCTTTGCACATGACAGCCAAGACTGGGCTGACCAATTTTCAATTTTTTTTCTGTAGTTTTTAGTTTCCTTTTTTCTTTCCTGTTTATTTTTTCTTTTTTCTTTGGAAATTTATTTTACTTTTTCGCTTTTTTCATAAATTCAAAAAATCCAGAATTTCAATTTTGATTAAATTTTTGAGAACTTTTTGTAATTTTGAAACAAATGCCGTTTAAATTATTTTTGGTATTTTATTTTATGATTACCGTTCCAAAAGTTGTTCAAAATTCATAAAATGATAGGATTTTCCATATTTGTTTGCGATAAAAAAACAGTTACCTTTTAAAATTCTTCAAGATCCAAAAAATATTCTTATTTTACTGAATGGTTCACAAACTGAAACTAATGTTCACGTTTTAAAAGCACATTTTCTAAAGTTGTTCCAAATGTTGAAAACATGTTCCTGTTTTAAAAAACAATCATAAAGTAAAAAAAACTCGTAATTTTATAAAAGGTTCGTGTTTCCAAATAATGTTCCGGTTTCAAATTATCTTTCCCGTTGCAACGCATAGGCATATGTTCTACTACATACAAAGTGATGAGCCAACTAAAAATCTATTACAAATTCTTGAGATCTACTTGATGCGCTTAAGAAATTCTCGAACAATGTTTGAGCAAGTATAATAAAAACTGCTTTCTCAACTCATACTCATCCTGCAAAAGCAATATATGTAGTTAGCACGAAACTTCATGTGAAAGGTCTAAAAACATGCGTAACGGGCAATACTCACTACGCAAACCGGCTCCACGAGATCTTTACCGTTCCACAAGAGGATAAAATGAAAAACAAAATAGCGAGACGAATCTCTGCAATTTTCTAAATTGTTATTATACTAAATGCTCGTCCGTTGCTACAATCTATCTACTACCTCTATATAAAAAAAAAAGACGAAGAACCAAACAATTAGATCTATCCATCAATAAGATCTAGTGGCCCTTAATCCTCCAATGTTTGCGCAACAAACCACGCATCCAGTTTTTAACGCTTCAAGCCATACATCGATAAAACTGCCCCGCCGTTCAGAAAAAAAGCAAACAACGCACGCCCCCACGTCCTCTCGCCCCGCCCGCATGACCTCGACCTCTCCCTGCTCCTCCTCCCCCGCCGTTCGCCCTCTCCCGTTCCTCGCCGCTCCTCCCGAGCCTCCCGCCGCTCCTCCATTCCTCCTGAGCCGCCCGCCACGCCCTTCGCCGCAGGATCCCCTTCGTCGCGGGAACCGCCGTCGAGCCCGTCCGTCGCGCCCGAGCCGCCGCCGGAGCCGCCCTTCGCCGCGGCTCGCAGGTCGCCGAGCCGCCGCCCCGGAGCCGCCCTTCGCCGTGGTCCGCAGGTCACCGAGCCGCCGCCCCCGCCCTTCGACGCAGCCCGCAGGTTCCCCAGCCGCCAACGCACGCCCCCACGTCCTCCCGCCGCCCCGGAGCCGCAACGCGACGGGCCCAACCCGGAGATCCACAACACTGGCGGGCTGAGCCGGCGGGGCTTCCCGGCGGGGTTCGTGTTCGGGACGGCCGCGTCGGCGTACCAGGTGGAGGGCATGGCGAGGCAGGGCGGGCGCGGGCCCAGCATCTGGGACGCCTTCGCAGCCATACCGGGGACGATCGCCGGCAATGGCACCGCCGACGTGACGGTCGACGAGTACCATAGGTACAAGGTGTGTATTATACTGAATGAACAATCGTCCTGACTGCTATGTTTTTCTGGTGTTTCTTGGTGGTATCCTGATGTTTGACAGAGGTCTTTTACTCTGAGGTGTGTGTAGGAGGATGTGAGCATAATGAAGGAAATGGGCTTCGACGCGTACCGGTTCTCGATCTCCTGGTCGAATATTTACCCAGGTACATATGTGCCCTGATCCCTCCTCCAACCACAGCAGCTTGCTAATTTTCGATCCAATATTATTTTTCCTGGATCAAAAGTAGTTTCTGATGTAGAGCTGTGTTTGATAAAACTGTAGATGGGACTGGGAAGGTGAACCAGGAAGGAGTGGACTACTACAGCAGGCTCATAGATTACATGCTCCAGCAAGGTAACTGAAGTTTTCTGCACCTTGGCAAGCAGCCTCAGCATCAGGTCCAGACTTCTGAGCTAATTAAACGTTACATTGTGACTGTTATTAATACAATTTTGACCAAAGGATTTATTGTTTTTTTGGCAGATGAGCACTTGTTCACCTTTGTTGTAGCGCAGAGACTTGTTCCAGATATTTAAATGTCTTTTTACGTATCCTTTGTTTGTTCTCAATTTGGATGCTTTCATGCAGATCAAGTTATTATTGAGGACAAAATGAAGGGGTGCATTGCAATCTAGATTTGACTAAATGTGTGGCAGATCTGTTGACAAACACATTTACATTTAAGTATGTGTAGTATGCTTCATGTAATTAACCACAACATTTGTTTCGTCAATTATTTCCTTTTCATTCAGTGAATGTCCTTTTGTTAAAAAGCGCGAGTCGAATGTGTAAGTACGGAAAAGGTTCTCCCATTGGGTTGCCACTACAACGAAATAACCATGTAAATGACTGTTAAACATACTCTATTTTTGTAATTCAAAGGCAATGTTTCTGCCGATCTCGAAAGAACTAAAAGAAATGCAGCCTTTATAACTGAATGTCTACATTCATTGTTGGAGATCACAGAGCTATATATTAACTAGTTATTATGTTGATGCACACTGCATTCAATTTAGTGAGCTTGTTATTTTTCTGATCGGATTCAGTGGTAATGGAATTGGGTGGTGAAGAAAACTAGCAAGCTACATAGGAGAAATTCATACGTGCACCCGCATGAATAATAATTTTTCGAATGTCAAATAGTTCTAGAAAAACTATACATATAAATATCTGAATCATGTGTCCTTGTAAAATTAGTGGAAAATGATTTGGGAGGATGAGGTTGCTTTAGTCTTGACCACGACGTGCTCTCTGGTAGCGCTGTCGCGGCCAGTCGGCCACTCGCTCTCCAAATCCTGCAGCTGTGCATGGGTCCGATGGACAGGCATGGCGGCTCAGACCTGCGGGCTCCATGATCACCACGGCGCTGCTTCCTGGCCTTGCCGCTGGCAGTCACCGTACCCTCACCGGATTGTCGACCCCACAACTAACCATCACCCTCATCTCATTAGTTGGCTTCCCTTTACTGGATCTGAATTTTTTTGGTTGGTTTGCAAAGTGCAGATGTGTGACCTCCTCTATGATGAAGGCATCGAGGAGATTAACTTTTGCTTCTCAAGCTTTGTTTTAGTTGAGATGTTTAAGCAATATTGGTCACTTCCAAGTAAATTTTATGATAATGTGATATATGTCTACTAATTTCGATTTTTTCCCTTTGTGTTCAGGTATCTATACTAAAGGTTGCAGTACAACACTAGCTGGTTACAATTTTGTAGATTTCCTTTTACCCTTAGTTTGTGCTCCCTCCGATCCAAATATAAGTGTCGCAGCTTTGAACTAAGGTGTTCAACCTTAGTTCAAAACTGCGACACTTATTATGGATCGGAGGAAGTAGTAAATGCCAATTAGTATAGTCCCTTAAGGCCTAAAAAGTAGCATAGGATATGGGAGCAAAAGGTTCAACGAAAACTTTTAAAACCTGAGATGGAAGTGTATTTTGTAGGCTTGTAGTGCATGTTCACCTGTACGAGCTAGAACTTCCTTTGTGTTGGCGGAAGTGTTAGCCTGCCATTACCAGTTGAGTATAGGGCCTGACCAGTGTTTTGGTCTTTCATTTACTTTTTACCAACTCAAGTAAAATGTTTGAAATCTTATATCGACCACATCACTAAAATTTGGTTGGACTATGCTTCTAATTGAGTCTTAATCTAAAGACGACATTTGTATGACGCTTGCATTCACAAATTGAAGAAACTGCTGTAGAACACCTTTGTTGGTTGCAATTATCCTACAAACATCATCATTTCAAAAGTAGCAACACAAATTTTATTCTTAAAAAACATATTTATTCCATGTAAAAACATATTTTTATTCCGTGGCAACGCACGGGCAGCCATTTGTGTCGGAAGATAGCATCGATCATGCATCCCTTCTGGTCAATGAGACTGATAGTGGGTCTTGATTGCCATTTGTGTCGATTCATATTCATACTTGTGTTTTGGGAGTTTATTGCCTGCATAACAACAAAAGTATTGGATGAGACAAGGCAAGCATGTACTCCCTCCGTTCCTAAATGTAAGTCATTGTAAAGATTCCACTAGGTGGACCACATACGGAGCAAAATGAATGAATCCATACTTATAATGCATCTATATACATCCGTATCTAGTTCATAGTGGAATCTCTACAAAGACTTATATTTAGAAACGGAGGGAGTATTTTGCTTGCATGGTCGCTTCAGCCTTAGCATCTGTAGCGCATGTAGCCAAAGTAACTGTGGCTTGTACTACTATTGTAAAGCAGAGCTGGTTGTCTTGAGCTTAATATGAGACCCAAGTCTCGTAGAGAGGGGTCGATGATAAGAAGCATCTGTGGTACGTCGTACTTGTGGTCCTCTCTTGAGAGAGCTATATGCTGCTTTAGAAGAAAGAAAAATAGTGTACAGATTGATCAAACTCAACTTAAGCCACCATATTGTAATTGTTACTTTTGAAGAATGTTACATTGGTTGTTTTTTGTTGTTGTCATTTTCTTACACTAGCATCAAGAACTATAAGCATATGGTAGTATTTGATCGGGAGTAGATGTATCTCTGAAAAATGTATTAGCTGAGACGTGCGTTGCACGTGCAAGCTTACTAGTAATGCATAAAAGAACAGCCAAAGCTTTTTTTTCCTCATACGTTTGGACGTGTTTCGATATCAGACGTGTGTTTAGCGGGCTCCCCGAGATTCAGTCATCTGGACAAACCTCTCCCAAATCCAGCCCATATATAGGGGGATATGGTTGTCCATACTATCTGCCATGCTTTCTCCAACACGCGGTTCCAACACAAAACCCCACCCCATGATGCACCTCTTTCTTTTCCTACCGGACCCTCCCCTTCCCACTTAGTTTCCCATCATAGTGGGTCATTTCTCGCTGGATCCCTCTGCTTTAAAACCGGATGACGCCCACCTCACCTTCATCATGCCGCCCACTCTGATGTCTCCTGAGTCATTGCCACATTGTAACATATAGTTGAATGTCGTGCATTACCACACAAAATATATGATGTCTGTTCTTGGGATGCAGCTGATGCGAAGGAGTGTAACACAAACACCACCTCAAAGCAAGCTACAACACAAAACCTTACCCTTTTTAGCACAAACATTACCTCCACGAAAGAGCTTATCCTAAGCTGATACACAACACTGCGTCTCGACCGATGTCGGGCACCTCCGAAGACCACCAACTTCAGCAGAACTTTGCTTGTCAACGCACCATCCACCTTGAGCGCCCGAAAGAAAGTGGCAGATGAATGGCAGGACTTGACCCCGATCTGGGAAGACACCGTCTTTGATAATCGCCGATGGGCGTACATAGCACCACGGATGATAAAAAGGACAGCATCAGAGGAGAGCAATGAGGAGCCAGTCGTGCCTCCAAACACATATTGTAGCTAAAACTTGCAGTCTGATGCCATCTTTACATGAAGTTCTCAAGTATGTCTCCCAACTAACCTGCAGTTTGATGCCCACTTTGTAGGAGTCAGTATGTTAAGGATGCATATGTATCCAGTATAACTGTAATTGAAATCTCTTCCATTACATAATCATTGGAAACATAAATTAAACATAGGTACAATTGCTCAATCATATCACCAGCAAATAGAGGGCCGAAATCTAATGTCCGTGGTGTTGTAGAGCACATAGTTATATCATGGCAGCACAGAAAACCGTGTTGTAGAGATTTCTGGCTGGCAATAAATTAAAATAACTAACGAAATTCAGACATTCTAAACACATACAAACAAGTCAATTCATGTATTCTGCCTGACTCTCCATTTATACACGGTGGAATACTAACAAATTAGGTTGTGCACTAGGTCTCCTTCGCCTCTGTTGCTCATCGTCGAAGCAACGAGCAAGCCGAGAGGATGAATGCTGATGTGCCGCGAGGACTCAAGAGAAGAACTTTTGATAAGTTTCAAAAATGCGGTGGGCACTGGATCAATGAGCTGCTGGTGGTTCTTTGGTCCCTCAGGACGACACCAAATCGAGCTACCGGGAAGACTCCCTTCTCCCTAGTGTATGGGGAAGAAGCAGTGCTCCCCGCGTACTCATATAAGGGTCACCTCGAGTACTTGCCTATGATGAAATAGAGTAGGAGCAGCTACAGCATGACGATGTTGTGCTGCTCAAGAAGATCGTCTCCGAGCTGCTGTGCGTGTTGCATGCTACCAGCAAGCTCTGCGCCGCTATCATAGCCGCAGGGTCCATGCCCAGAGCCTTGAGGAAGGCGACCTTGTCCTTAGGCGTGTTCAGTCTGCCAAAGGCTCTAACAAGTTGACGCCAAAGTGGGAAGGCCCTTACCGGGTAGTACAAGTCACCTGACCTGGCGTAGTCCGCGTAGAGACCGAAGATGGCATCCAAATGCAGGACTCATGGAATATTGAGCGTCTTCGTAAGTTCTACCCGTAAGGTGCGACTGTCGGGCTCAGTTCTCGGCAACCACCTTTTTGTACAAGCATTGCCACTGGGCATGTAACCCTTTGTACAAAGCCAGGTGCAGACCCTATGAAAGATAATAAAACGAAGCGTTAGCATTTAAAAACTTGCATGCATATTTTATTAAGTATGATTTTGCTATAAGTAGGATCATATGTTGTTGTCTTCTCCCATGTACCACCAACAGGGCCCCTACCACGAACAAGATTCTGGGAGGGGAGGAGTGAGAGCAGCCCAATATCTCGGTCCACGGCAACCCCTTCTTGTCGAGGCAATAAGAAGAGCAGCAGACACAAATAAGTTTTCCTCTCCATCCACAATTGTGTCCTTGTATGAAAAGTCTTGGGCGTAGAAAAACCTCACCACTCTTAACATCTGTGCTCCCTTCCTTTGATTCAGAGATTAGCTCTAGTCAGGATGGTCGTAGTAGCATTTGGAGGGGGTCGGCGAGGAGTTGGTTCCCTTCAATGCTCCTGACCCGTCAGGCTGGGTCCAGTAGTAGCAATGAAAGGAACTGGTAAAATGTCTTGCCTGGAACCCTTGTTTACTTGAAAGTATTGAGGGATCTCTCCTCAGCATGGACATAATACATGAAGAAGTACCCGACAAGCATTTCTTTTTTCATTAATACACGAATAAACAAGTACACATCATACAAAGTACAAGCGTGGATGGAAGATTACATAATTTAAGAAAAAGTTTGGCAAGTGCCTACATGTTTTAGACTGAAAAAAGATAAGTGCCCCGTAATGCCTTTCATGTCCCTCTCCTCCTAGGAGCTATAGTGGGAGGTGAAGAGGGCAAAAGGAGCGCCTGGGCAAAATCCCAGCCTGACCTCGTCAGGGCCGCGGGACGCAGCCTGACAAGATCGGGAGGGCAGGGACGAAGACGATGAACGGAAGGAGCGACTAGGCAATGCCCTGGTCACCACCGCCAGGACCAGAGGAACACGACAGGATGGACACCGGCAAGGAAGATGAAGCCTCAAAGTGCTAGTTATCGACTAGAGGGGGGTGAATAGGCGATTTTTATGAAAGTCTTCAAAACACGAGGGCTTTGAAGACAAACATGTAATATTGAACCTATATGATATACAACGGAATGTAAACTACACTAGGCAAGTAATAGTCAAGCAAGCAGTACAGTGAAAGCACGAAGACTAACAACAGCTAGGTAGACAGGATTAGAACGGAAGACAGTATGAAGCCAAATAGAGTCTTCACACAGTGAAGTCAAATGAATCAAGCAGGCAAGAAATGACTTCACGAAGATAAACTGAAAAGTAAGGAGAGTAGGGGATAGAACCAGTTGCTTGGTGAAGACAAGGATTTGGTAGACCAGTTCTAGTTGCTGTGACAACTGTACGTCTGGTTAGGGAGGCTGAGATTGAACTCAGAAGACTGTGTCTTCACCTTATCCCCATAGAGCTAAGAACACTTAGTCCTTGCCCTATCACTCAAGTAAGTCTTCAAGGTAGAATTCCAAACCTTCACAGACTTCGTTCACCGGTGATCCACAATGACTCTTGGATGCTAAGAATGTGACGCCTAACCGGGTGGAGGATTCACAGTCCTAAAGTGTAACAAGCCATCTGATCATGCAGACAGAAAGACTTCAGTGATGCCTAACACTCTTTGGCTCTGGGTATTTTGGGCTTTGTCCTTGCAAGGATCTCTCTCTCTCTCTCAAATGCTTCAGAAGTGGGTTGCT